CGCCGCTTCCCCCGCCCGCGCGGCCCCGCCCTCCTGACGCTCGCCGGCGCGCGTGCGCGAGGCCAACATAAACAAAAGCTGGCTGCCGTGTGCTGCGGGAAAGCGGGCCGAGTCTCGTTCCGAGGCTCGGGGCGTTTGGGGGAACGTGGGGATGGCTGCGGGATCGGGACATTCAAAAACCGGAGCAGGCCTGGGTGCCACTTTCCCCCAAGCGAGCAGCAAACGTATTTGCAGGCAGGCCTAGCACTGACGTCGCAGGCTCTGGGCTCGGTTTCCGCGGTTTCTTAAGGTCCCGGGGAGGGGGTCAACCCCGACCATACCGGCTTCCTTTTAACGTCGCTGAGCCAAGAACTGTCACCAGCCCTGCGCCCGCAGGCTCTGTGTGTAGCTGGGTTCCTTGTGGAAAGGAACTGTTAACGCCAGTTGGGCCAAAGTGGAAAGAAAGGTGCCTGTTTATCGCGTCCGCCCGGCCTCTCTCAGGGCAACTGTGCTTTTGCATCGTTTTTCTAATTTACGTGTGTGGCTGTTTTGCTTGCATGCACGACTGTGCATCATGTGCGTGCCTGATGCCCTGGGAGGCAAGAGGGCAGTGGATCTCCTGGAGCTGGAGCGCAACGGGATTTCGAGCGCCCGGTGGCTGTTGGGAATTGAACCCAAGCCTTCTGGAAGAGCCACCCATACCGCTGAGCCATCTCTCCAGCCCATGGTTTTGTTTTTTGGTTTTTTTTATTTTTACTTTAGGTGGTCACAGTTGAAAGTACTGGCAGTTCTGGCTTGTTCGTTAACATTTCCAAGTCCACATATACATCTAAAATTAATGAAATCAAAGCACTGAGTGTAATAATATGTAATAGTGATAAATTATGAAATCGAATTTTCCTCACTAGATATTTGCGTTTTGTTGTGAAAATGCTTGTCAGAATAATCAAGCAAAATTAGTCATTTTGTTACTAAACTTGGGTAGCCATGAGCCTGTGCCCCAACACTGTTCAGCCTCAATAAATCATGTGAAAAAGTCAAATTAGTGGTGGGAAGCAGGAAATGACTTTCTGTGTGGCCACATGGGAAAGAGGGACAAAGATCCCCAGGGACACCCCC